GGGGAAGAATTGATTTTGAATAGTGATATGATGGGAAATGTGTGGTTGAAAAAGAAGAAAAAATTATTGATGTGATGGAAAATATTATTTTATTGAAGAATGTGTGGTTGAAAATGAGAATTGATTTACTGTAGAAAAATTTAATTCCTCCCAAACAGGGCCTATATGTACGCAAGCATACATGTATGAATATGTGCATGAGGTACAGAAGAGAGAATGATGATGTTCAGGTGAAAGAAGAATATACATTATCATGCTCTGCCATCTAGAAGGGAAGAAACGGTGAGGTGATAAAATGGAGTGTCTCTAGTTCAGTAAGAAGAAAAAACAATGTTAAAGGGAGTAAAAGCAGAAGTAATATCAGATGGAGAGAACAAGGACAAAAGAATCCTTTTATCCAACAGTCTCTACTCCCCTAACAACATACTTCACCATAATGAAACATATAATAGTACAACAAAACTATGCTAGATTAAGCATGTCACTTGCCAGAGAAGAATGTCAAATGCTATGTTAAAGACAAGTTTCCGTTTCCTTAATTAACCGTCAACTTCAAATCGTCTTTTACCAACAACAAACTAAGCCTTTTTCCAAATAAACTTGGAGTCAGCTACACGAATGAAACTACAGTAAAATAACCAAAAAATTCAATGCAGAGTTTTATGTTCATTTGGAAGAGTCACATGTATTTCAGAAGCTTGTCTACTGAAATTCAAAGGAAAGTTTTTACCTGCTTGGTGGCAGACGGGCTCTACTACATCTGCATTCACAAACTGAAACTTTATCCCCAACTTCATACCAGTGCATGTGTTTAACCTGAAAGACATTTTCACATGAATACAAGGATCAAGCAAAGCGTATATGTTACAGTCACATATTCTATAACTATTACTTCTTCGGCATTCTGACAATTAGCTGATAAAGCAACAAAACTACATCTTGTGAGGGCCAAAGAAACTAGATTCTTGAAGTTCACATTTGGTGAAGTCAGAAAGATAGCTATTCTTCGTACAATCAAGATGCAGAAGAAGAAACAGCTTAATTAGGACTATGGACCATTATGCATTGGTCAAGCTTCCCCGGGAACTGGCGATGATAAAAAATAACGTGTGAAATTTCATATATCAATAATACTAGAACAGTTGACAATCCAAGTCTCTAGTATCCCTTGTACTAACCAAGGAAACATAGCACAAGAAGTTAAGAAGTATAGCCAAAACCTAATGATAGTTCATAATTTTTTCCAATGACCAAAATTGATGATCAAATAAATATCATGCACTGACACACTTCAACATTTGTATGTGAATCACCAGTTAAATTAGTGCATAAATAATCCTATCTATGCAAGGCTATCAAATCGAATCAACTATGTCCCTGAACCTACCCCCACCAAACATACAAAAACAAAACAGAAGATGATGTGATGTTAGGATCTCAAGTCAATGAGAGGGAGAAAGTGTTGTCGCATATAGGAAGATTAATGAAGAGAAAGAATTATTATAATATAGTTGTGTAACCCAAGATATAATGGCTAAAGCTTTTGAGTCAAGATTGGATTCTAAGCTTACTCACTTTTATGTCAAGGTTTGGTTCTATGCTTACTCTGGCCAACTCCATGGGCTCACCCATTATGTTGTGTATGAGCAGATGGTATGGAAATTCATGTCAACTATCTACATTGTATGCAACAAAATGGAAGTCCATTGAATACACAATCTCAAACGTAACTAACAGCCCTTTGACTACCTTAGTTTACCCATGTCCTACAAGGTGAAAACTTGTAGATCGCTCTCCCCTGCCTGTATGGGGTAATGCTCAAACCATATCAAACAAGTAATTGAACTCAACAATTTCACATGTTTTTGAAGTCGAGGTTCAGGCCTACAAAAGACATCCTTGTAAAAGCCCTCCCACAGACAGTTTTAAACTTAACCCAACTCTTCCTAGCAACAATTTTAAGCTACGACATCAACAGTCTCCTTATTATTCTTTATAATCCGCTGTTTGAAGAAAGAGCTGCTATTTTTCATTTGAAGATGCTCCACCACTAAGAATTGGGAAAATAAGTCCTTGGTTTCTGAAAATTAGAAAATTAATTAAAATTAAAATGGACATATCTCTAAATCTTACTCTTATCTCCCAACTGAGTCAAGTTAGGATTGTGATTGGACTCTGCAGAAATAAAATATACTAATGCCTTTGTCAAGTGGGATCTCAAAGGGTTGCAAATGAACTATCAAACTGGACCAAGAGGAGCTCTCTAATAGGTGGATATCAAAGTGAGTGATGGATGCTTTCAAAGCTTATAGAACCGGGTGCACACTCAAAAAGAATTACTGGGATAATCGTGGATGGCTTGGCAAGTAGCAGGTTTATAGCTGGTGGAGTTAAGGGGATAAGGCCCAGTTTGAAGGTTTACTTGTGAAGGGAAGATGTTCAATATCCCAGATGAAGAGGTGGGGGGAAGTGCTCTACGGGACGGTCAAAGTTAGCTTATAAGTGTGTATGTTAAAGTCGATTTCTATTCGGACTGAATCACTTGGCCTACCAATAAATACAAAATTAACATGCATAAACACATAAAGGTTAAGCACATGTTGAAAAGTTTGTTTTACTTCCAATGCCTTCTTAAAAATTAGTTTCACAGAAGTTTAAGCTATCTGAGAGAGAATTGGAAGGACGGAATAAACACACCAGCAGTGTTCTGTGCTTCATAATCACATGGGTTTTCATGCCACCATTATTGTAGACATAGCAGCTTCCTTCTTCAGGGCTGGTTCCCAGACCAGTTATAATTCCCAGAGGGATCCTCGATCCAACTGACAAATCTGCAAGGTTATCTCTAGAAAACACCTGACTTGCACTATTTGTGTCTTCATATGCAGTGACGTAAACGTGTATTTGATCTTCAGAATCCACATCTTGTATCCCACTAGAACACGTTGGCGGGACTCTTGTGGCCACGGCGACACGTCTCCCTGACACATGCAATTCCAGATCTTTATATGCGTCAGATGTGTGGTAATCACTACTTGAGGATTGCTGTTCAGAAATTACACCATCAGATCGATCAGAATTCATTTTTTGGCTGAAATCCACAACAGATTCACATGAACCCGATGCAAAAGACGTCAGCTTTTCATTGGAGGATTGTGATAATTCAGGAACCTTGTTGGCCAAATATACCATCCCAAAAAGGTCCCTGCCAGAAACCAAATGCAGCACCTCAGGTGTTGAAACTGTGGACCTCTCCTCAACTTCAAAACGGTCAGGAAGGAGATCCCAGGACTCAATCTCAGGTCCGTAGTATGCTACATGTATGGCTGAATAAAAGTCCCTTTGCAGGACATCAAAATAACCTGATCCAGCTGCCACCCTTCTTTCTGCCAAAATGTCTTTGATTGTATATCTATACCATTTCAACCATTCAACAACTTCCATTTCCATCTCTGGGTCTCTATGCGATGCATAGTTGTACATAATGGGATCATTTCTAGAATGTTTTTGAACAAATGCTCTTTGAGATAAGAGATACCGATCATAATGACTTCTCTTCTCAGAATCTGAGAGTATCTGTAATCCAATAGTGATTACTACATATAATTTTTGCTTTAAATCACGTGACAGTATTAAATCTGGCAAATGGGCATATGAGCATGTACAACACGTACGGTTAATACATTGACGTTAAAGATGCTTCGATAAAATAAAAAAACATTATTTGCAAAACTTCAACTAAATTTATGCGCAAATTGTAAATTGCCAAAGGGAACACACAACACAAGAATAGGGGAGTAAAAAAGAAGCTAATTAATACTGTAGACAGTGTGTGCGGTTATGCTTGCGTGCACAAGAGAAAAAGTCCCAAACAAGTGTTTGTGATTTTTCTTTATTCACCAAGCACTCCAATTTGATGCTCCAGTTGGAATCGCCACAGAAAGAATTACACTGATTCGGGCGATCAGAGCAAAACCATTTACTTATCCAAATTCAATCTGATGCACAACCCCAAATTCATTATATTTCAACCTCGCCGCTCCACTCAATCATCATCTCTCTTCACCATTTCTTTTGAAATCAGAAAATAAATAAACGGAAAAAAAATGAATTCAAATTCTAAAATTTCACATCTAATTCGTTATGAAACCCTAGTATCCGGGGGAAAAAATGTTACCTCATAAGCTGCGAGGATTTGAATGAATTTCTTGGAAGCATCAGAGGACTCACTTTGAGAGTGAGATACGTCCGGATGAGTTTCCTTTGCCAATTTCCGGAAAGAGGCTTTGATTTCTGCGAATGAGCTGGTCTCTGATACCCCTAAGAGATCATACGCGCTTGACCCGGCGAACTCAGACTGAATCGACGACTCAGCGTTAGTTCCGAGCCACCGCTTCGCAGTGAAACTCGGATAAGGGTAGAGAAGAAAATTATGGAAATGAGCAGCATAATTGGCATAATCCGATGATGATTGAAGTAGAATTTGATTGACTGAACGATGGATGTTGAAAGGAGCGCGGAGAGTGATGCAATTGGTGAAGAACGCCATGTCTCGGCGATTCCAGTGAGAGAGTTTTGGAAACTCGAAACCTTTAATTATTATTGGTAAAATTGCATAACGCTCCACAGCCTACGGAAATTGTTGCAACTTGATAATCCACAACCTTTTTTCGTTTTGGATTGGATCGTATCAACATTTTTAATTTTGGAAAATACTACGTGTACACGATGTTTCACACCTCCCTCACATGGAGAGGGGCCCACACACGATAAAATATTTGTGGACCCCCCTCCATTTGAGGGAAGTGTGAAACATTGTGTACACCACAAGGTGTACACATAGACTAATTCTTTAATTTTACCATGTACGTAATTT